AATAGGAAAAGCACTCGAGTGCCGAAACGCGCGTGGGAGATTGGTGACGGGAGTAATCCTCGGGAGATCAGGAAACGTAACCGAGAGCCTATTCCTAGTAGGAATAGGAATAGTGGATATGGGCCCCAGTCATGGTCCTACAAGGAGTAGGAATGGCGTGCGCATGCGAGGCAGACGGACGAAGCTTAGTCCGTGCGGGACTAGGCGAGGCATGGGCGTGCACGTGCGAAGCAGGCAAGGCGCGCGATGCCTCGCGCGCCAAGGAATAGGATAGCCGAGGGCGGCGCGCGTAGAGGCGGTGACTTGGACATGCGCAAGGAGCTTCTAGAAGTACATGGTGTGCAAGTCAAGACATTAGGAGATCTAGTAGATTTAGGATTTATGGTAGTACGATATTTACTAGCCTTAGGGTTTAATATTTAATTATTTTATTAGTTTCCTAGGTAGATTAGAAATAGTCATAGTTAGGATCTATAAATAGGGAGCATCCCTCATTGTTTTTGGAAGTCTTGGAATGGAATAGAAAAGAACGTTTGTTCGAAACCGTGTGTTGAGAGTCGTGAGATTCGATCATACAAATCGAATTGGTGAGGCTAAGACCCGAGCCAGTTCAACGATTTAGAGAGGCTAAGACCCGATCTATTTCAAGAGTGTAGCGAGGCTAATACCCGAGTGAACTCAAGTATCGTGAGAGAGTTAGGCTAATAACCGAGTCGATCACACCTATCGTCGAGAGCAAGGCCATGGCGAAGCCGTGATCGAGACAAGACGAGGACGCGAACACCCGATCCTTCATCACAGCACCCGTGCGTGCCCAGCAGCACCAGCCACGCCCCGACCGTGCCAGCGAGCAGCCCGGGGCCCGACCCATACCCTTCTTATATTTTTCGAACCCTTATGTGTGTGTCTTTGACTTGTTTTATGTGCTAGGCCTATAGGTGATATTTTATGTGATTTTGGTCAAGTCTAAGTGTTAGATCCAAGTGTTCCAAAGTCCACAGAACTTCACGAACGACTTGGTTGACTCGAGTTCGACCAAGTATAATTGTGTATGTTCCTCTAAGGTCAAAAGTGTTGATCTTAGTATAATATTTGTTGTAGGTGTTTGACGAGCCGTGCTCGCTGCCTACCCTTGCTTGTGTTGTTTCCCCTTTTGCTGCACCAGGTGGGTTCTAATCTAAAATCGTCTATGCCATGAATGATAAATGTTTTACTTATGGGTATGATCTAAGTATGAATATGAAATATGTAGC